TGATAAGCCAGGGCCAAATAATCTGCAAATGACCAGAATTAGATCGTTTTTGAAAGTAACACAAAAAAATCCGCCCATATGATTAGACAATACAAATTTAATTAATTGTTTCTCATAACCCGGCCGGGTCAAATTTTGAAGAAAAATTTTTTATATGTTTAATAGGCGGGTGGAGTTCAAAAAATTGTTTTAAAAAATTTTATAAAATTTTATATATAAAGTTTAAAAAAAAAGGCCGGCCGGGTCACTTTTTAAATTTAATGTTATGAGAAACCAAAATTAATTTTGTATGGCATTAATAGGGATGTGGCATTATTGAAAAAAGGATGCGAAAATATCAATTTCCTAAACTTATTAATACTTATTAGCTAAGTTTTTCATGCAACATAGATGAGCTGATTTTTTTATCATTTCGTGTAACAATTTGCCGGATCGCACTAATGGTTTCGTCAATGGCTTCGTCTGACGAAACTTGACGATTTGACATAACTACTGACGATTGACGAAACACTTGACGAAATTAATTATACCAATAAATAAAAAAAAAATGAGGTGTCAATCTTTCAACAAGCACCTTCATAACGACCTCTGGGTATTTCTGAATCTTAAATTTTTTCAAAATTACTGTTATTTCTTCACGAAGTTTCTTCTTTGTCAGACTTATCGGATGCATCCGGGTGAGTAATGTAAATCATCGGGAATGTCAGATAAAGGTGCCTAAAAAAATATAAACCGGGTAGATAAATTTATGATAATGGACTAATTTATTTCCATTAGCTAGTTTTCAATGACTCCTAAAGGATAATCTTTTTAATTTTTTTAGCTATAAAATTTTTGTTTCGTCATGAGTTTCATCGTTCATCATGAGTTTTGTAATTCGTCACTAGTTTCGTCATCAATTCGAAGTTACCTGAAGAAACCGTTTCGTCATTCGTCAGGCATCATTAGATCTCACTATGATTGACGATGCATCAAATGATAATTCAAATCGACACATACAGTATAGCTAGAATTCGCACGGACCACTTCTAGGCGGATTTTTTAAAGATCCGGACCCGAACTGAAAAAATCGGGTCGAGTTAATGGTAACGACGATGATATTGGTGAAATTGCAGCACACTATAATGTTATAAATTAATGTTAATTTAAAAATTTTTTGAGACTCTGTTTTTTTGATAAAATAAAGCCTAACGCATAAAGCTAGTTTAATTGGATGTTCTATAGAACAGGTGGGCAAACTCCGCAACTCCGATATTAAAAAATTAATGTTACTAATTATTAGCGAAGCTTATTTCTTATATTGCCCATCTATTCTATAGAATATCCTTAATATTAAAATTTTGGATAAAAAAGAACAAGATACTGCCTGGGCGGGACTTTGCATAAAATTATACAGTATAACCAAATATAATTTTGTCCCTACAACTCGTGTCCAGCCCGGCCCAGCCCATTTAAACACCACCTATAAGATCAAAACTATTCTCTTGTTTAGATAGAGATGAATGCAGATGGCTGATCTCTAATTTACATGATTTTCCATTTTTATTGATTCATTATTTGATAATCTACTAACGCTAACTTTTTAGTACACTACAAAAAAGCGGGTTAAAAACCTTAGTCATTATTTGACTTTATATGACATCACAATATTATAAGCTTAAAATATTGTTTTATTATTGTTTTGCTATTGTTTTATTATTCAACTTGACCAATATGATCGTTTGTTAATTTAAAAGCCGAATTTTATCGTTATTTTATAATTTGAAACATTTATTAGATGTACTGTATTTTCATTCGTTAGTGACACGAATAATTTTGTACACCATCCATAGCCTAATTTTATCCGCTCAGAAAGAGTGTGTAATTATCGTTATGTAAGCTTATTTGATCTTGTGTAATTGATTGTGACATGTTTAACTTTTTTATAATACCTTTTATAGAAATAACGAAAAGAACGAAGTACTTCACATGCAACTCAATGTTTAATAGGTTACGTTTTTTAGGACATTAAGTAATAATACGTATTAGGTCATATCAGGTATAGATGACCTATATTTAATTATTAAAATCTAGTGCCGCGTATCGGTTTATAAATAAGCAAACACAATTTTGTTTCGCAAAAATTTTGTCCAAATCATGCCCGAGAATGAACCTATATTACATTCAATTTATACGGGAAATGACAAAAATAGTTCGATATTAGTTTTAGAGCTAGATGAAAATAATATCTGGTTAATTGATAGCGGGTCCTCTCGTTCGCTATGTTACCAATATTTGATGGCTGCAATTCTAAAACGTAAAATATCGAATATTAAAGGCATTATCGTCACAAACACACATCATGGCCGACTTGATGGAGTTACAAGATTTCTCAAAGAATTCTTTTCTCAACATTCTAATACCGATGAATCTCAGAAGCTTGACTGTCTCGTGATTCTTACCAAAGAATTCAATAATGAACCAATTATTAATATCCTAAAAGATAATGGATTCGATATTATAAATGATTTTAATGATAGAGATCCAATTTTTGAAAGCCCAAATATAAATATGAGGTGTTTTTTTCACGATACAGGAAGGCCTTTAGTTTTAAAACGTGAAAAAAACATTGATCAAAATCCAGGCTTCTGGCAAAGAGGGTATGAAAATGCGGTGAGGTATGTGGCAAATAATGCTATGATAAATAATTATGTAAATCCCTTGATAAATAATTATGTGGAAATTAATGCATTGGCTAGAATTTTTTGGAGAAAAGATGGTGTTGAATCATTGCCAGGTTTACCAATAAGTAGATCCAGTGATGAGTTATTCTTAAATGTACAAAAGAACAAATCAAAAGCTCATGTTGATCTATCAAGTATTCTTACATGTTTACAGTATTCAAGAGATGGAAATATAAAAACAATGCTTCTCACTAGTGATAGTGCTGCTTCTTGGATACTAGAAGTTATAACAATAAAATTGAAAGAACATTTGCAAATACAATTAAATGAACGACCGTCAATTGATGTATTTCAAGTACCAAATTATGGCTCAAGAATTAACTCAATAGTTGGAACTTTTGTTGACCTTCCTAAGCATGTAATTCAACAATTTGCTCTGATGATGATTCTATATTATGGTGGGCAATTTGATTTTACAAATCTAGATGACAGAGCAATAGTAACTATTGAGACTGATTTTGAGATTATGTGCAACTTTACTAATTTTGAGATTTTTGAGGAAGCAGCTTTATTGGAAGGATATGTTCAAACGCCTCTAAATTTGGAAGCCATCAAAAACTTTTTAAAATATATGGCAAATGCATTAACAGTCCGAAAATCAGAAAAAGAAAATAATATCAATGAAAATGACAGTAATATTAATTGGAATTGGGATGAAATTAATTGGCCGGAAATAGGAAGAAAATTATATATTATCTATAAAATGAATAAAGAGACAGAGCCGTGTCATTGGCCCAAATACGATTTTATTAAAGACGTGATTGATATACCTAATAAAGAATTTGATCCTTATTTTGATAACACAAAAAGAGGAAATATCTCTGATGAACAACTTAATGCGTATTTTATAAGTATAAAGAAGAGAATACGTAAAAATTTTGATACCATCATTTGCGCAAATGATGATAAAATAAAACATCAACTACGATATGCTACACATCTAAAACCATTATTGGTTCCATTATGGCATAGTCTTTCCGTTTCTCCTTTAGCATTCCGATATATCACTAATTCTATCTCAAATTTTTATAATTCATTTACCGCAAAGACTTACGTCATCTCTTCTGGATCAAGGCACGGTCATCCAGATGCTTTAGTTCTTGTTGGAATTATTAAATCTGTCTTGGAAGATTTAAAGGAGAAAGAGAGAAAAGCAATGATTTTATTAACGAATGGCTCGAAAGTTAATATCAATTTATTGGCTTCTATGATTGATGATTTATTAGAAAATAAATCAAATGATATCCAAAAACTCTTAAGTCAGCGCATTAAGATTTATACAATTAGTGATAGCTCTTATGAGGTTAGCGTTAAGCTTTCTAATGGTGAATTGAATGATGATAAAAGTGCACAGCTTTTAAGATGGGATTCAATAGGAAAAGAAGAAATAAAAAAAGTCACTGATATACTTAAACGTAATAAAAATCTTCCATATAAACCAATCAATAAACAAATCATGCATGATATAAAAATTTCAAATCATGATCAGGATCCTCTTTGGCTTAATGTTGATGAGGAAGGTAACTTGGCACCATCTGATGTGCCTGTTTCATTTTTGATATCTATCATGCCATATCCGGATCAAATCGCATACCGAATATCGGTGTCTAACGACAATAGCCATTATAATTTTATTGTCAAATTTGAATGGGTGATCGAAAATAAACACAATGAATTTTATCTAATAGATTTAAATACAGAGGAGGGCCTTTATTATGCCCTTGATGAATCTACACCATCACCAAAGTTCAAAAAACAACCTAATAACGAAGGTGCCGTAAAGTTCTGTTTCTCGGCAAATGATCCTACAAGCCCGTCAGTAAATAAAAAGAGCGGTAATACTTTAAGGAACTTTTTGGTAGAATTAGGAGAACTTGATGAAAATATAAATTTAGTAATGGAGAATGCACTTAATTATATAATCGGCGCTTGTGATGTTTGTAATTTTAAAAAGGCATTTAAATCTCTTCCGAATGACTACGCAGATGTTTTATCGCTCAAAGTGGAATTGGATTCAAAAGTTGAGTGGGAAATTTCAGAAGACAAGTTGTTCGATATAAAAAATGTTTCACTCAAGCCAAAAAATGAAGAACTCAAAAAACTTGGTAATTATGTAGTAGCAATGCAAATAATTATCAGAAATCCAAAGCTCAATAATATGGAAATTTCGATGAAAATTGAATTAAATGATAATGAATCAGAAAGCACATTAGAGTGGACACCAAAGTTAAAAGATATATCTAAAACAAAACCTGTTTATGACTACCTTTTAAATACAGATGTCCAACAAAAAAAGTGGAAAAATCTGTCCTTTGGTCATCTATGCTTGTTAACAATGCCTCAATTGCTAGTGATACCAGAATTATTGAAAATTCCCTTGCCTTTCATATCAAGTACTTCATTGTTAGATCGAAAAGTCAATAAAGAAATTTCAGAAATAAATTTCGAAACTGGCCCAATTGGGGCTATAGTGACTGAGGCGAAGTTTTTTTTGGAAACCTTAGTAACAGGAAATGTGTTAGACTTTCAACTTGATGGAATTCCGATTTCAAAAGTAACTGATGTTAAAATTAAGATTACCGATCCAGGTGCTATTAATAGTAACCCCAAAATTATTATTAAAGCTTGTGCAAGTATTAGGGATATTAAATCTGTTAATATATTAACACAAAATGATAGCATGCGATCCTTCATAATGGAATTTGATGCTGGTACAACACTTACTCGAGTTGCAAAAGCATTAAATGCTAACGAAAATACATATGACAAACTTATTGTTCATTTGTATGATATGCCTTTGAATAATCTTTTAGAAAACATTCAACCAGAATTTAGTTTATTATTCTATCCGGTAACAGAACCTCCGACAATGGATTATAAACTTAAAAATATTCGCATTTTTGCAAATGGCTTCCCTGAAATAAAGTTTATACCATCTCAAATTCATAAAAAACTA